GTCTTTTAAATTGCTTATTTTCTAAAGACAGTCTGCAGTTACATTTATTTCAGTTTGATATAACAGATTGCAGGTTGGGGTGAATGTTAGGATTATGAAATATATATTGAAAACGGCAAAAACTTTGCTGGTCTTCATTTTTAACCATACACACATATATATCTATCACTCTCAGTTACAGTTATTATACAAGAATCAGTCCAGGTCAGGTAGTTTCCCCTGTGTGGTATAATTAAGGTTATTAAAGTTAGTTTATTATTAAGATATCCATATACCAGCTAGGTGGAAAAGAGCCTTGAGTATATGATAGAAAACACTTTATTTATTTATACCTAACAGTTCATTTTTGTTCATGGAGCAGGGTTGGACTATCTAACCCTGTCTAGACGAACTCACCTTGAACTCACTTGTTGTCTTTTGTTTTAATGAAAGATCACAGACTCAGCTGCTTCTTCCTTTGGTGTGTGTGTTTGTATAAATGTGCGTGTGTGTGAGGACCACTGATTTGGAAGCAGTGTCTCTTCATGTTGCGTGTGGCGAGTGTTTGAGAACCATCGCCCTAGGTGGGTAACTCTGGAGAATGTTCTGCTGCCGTCTGAAAAACAACAGGCTCTCAATCCACAGGTCTCTCTAGCAATCTCAGATGGAGGGAACGGTTCCTTCAAGATAAAATGAAGTAGTTTCTTGGACTGAACATATGCTCCATAAGTACATCAGCTTTTGTCTTATACGCAGCAAAGTTCTTTCTTCACAAGCTCCTCTTTCTTGACTTACATGTCGTGGTTGAATGATGTGGCCCAGGGATTAGGGAGAAGGCTCATGGAAGACACATACGCTCCTCCATAGGACCTGCCTTCAGCTCCCCGCACCCACATCAGGTGGATCCCAACTGCAGCTTCTGGGATTTTGGTGCCCCTGGTCTCATGGGCACTTGCCTGTGTGTGCACACCCTCCTCTCTCACATATACAACTAAGTCAATAATTAAGTTAAGGCTTAAAGTTTTTCTTTAAAATTATATAGTTTGCCAAAGAAAGTCTTAAGAAATAAGTATATGGAAAGAATTTGATTGTTACTTTTCTGGTTTTTAAATGCTCTTTATTAATATATACTAATTAATTTGCAATTTTGGGCTTCATCGTACATTTTCATGCATATATATAAAACATTCACCCATTACCTTTTCTCCCCTCCAGTTCCAGTTCCTGTTCTTAATGCTTATTCCCCTTCGGCCTCCTTCCCTTCTTTTTCATCATCACCTATTTCTCAGGTCTTATTTCCTTCTCGTGTTAGTGACGTTCAACATCAAGGGCAGAAAGATTTGTTCTGCTCTCAGTTTCAGGGTGCATTGGGATGGGTGGAACAGCTCTTGTCATGGGGCACAGGCAGCAGAGTGGAGAGAAGGGACAGACATGAGACTGAACCTTCATCAACTACAACCTTCTCCACACAGCCCTGTTGACTGGGGCCAGCATCTAAAACATGGTCTTGCGGGTCCAGTGTCCACACAGACCAGAGCGCGTCTAGGGCCCTCACTGCAGGGCCAGTTTCCATACAGACCAGAATACTTCTAGCTTCCTTACCTAGTTTTTGCTTCTTATCATTTTTATGGTGTGTGTGTGTGTGTGGCTTTTGGGAACTTAAAAGGAAAAGTCAAAATGAAGTCTCGGCCTGTGCCATCCTGGCAGACACTTGGTCTAATTGCTTTTCTCACCTCTTCTGGACCTACTCTCAGGAGGACGAGAAATCTTAGTTTCCTGGGAAGCAAGCTGATTTGTAGGCTTAGGGTCGAAGGAGCCTCACGATTATATTAAAAAGAAAAATGTCAGGAGTTCCCTGTCACTCTCCCATCCTCCTCCTTTACCTACGTCTTCTGGCCGTGCGCTGTGCCTGGATCCTGTGTAAATGCAGCAGGGTGTTCCTGGTGTGCACGACTACTTCCATTTGTCCTAGCAGGATGGCGTCTCATTAGGTTTCATTGTATAAGGCAGTGAGGAGGAGTCTCCTGAACCCTAGTAAACCTGTTCATCACGTGGTTATAGGGCAGGGGAAGGATGTTTGTGGTTTGAATTCTCAGGCAGTGATTTCTATCCCTATCTATCATAGACTTCCTTGTTGTATCAAGACTCATTTTCTAGCACTGTTTTTAAGATGATAGGAAGTGGTATTTTTCCTGGGTGAAAATAGTGTCAGACAGTTAAGCTGCTAGTGTGGGGCTTAGGCCTTTTTATTTTGTTATTTGGCAGTCTTAATAGTTTTAATTTATAGCTTGAAATGGCTGTTTTTTTCCTTTTTTAATTGATTTTATTGAGCTATACATTTTCTCTGCCTCTCCCTTCCTCTCCCCTCCCCTTCAACCCTCTCCCATGGTTCCAATTTACTCAGGAAATCTTGTCTTTTTCTACTTCCCATGTAGATTAAATCTGTGTATGTTCCTCTTAGGGTCCTCATTGTTGTCTAGGTTCTCTGGGATTGTGATCTGTAGGCTGGTTTTCTTTGATTTATGTTTAAAATCCACTTATGAGGGAGTACATATGATAATTGTCTTTCTGGGTTTGGGTTACATCACTCATTATGATGTTTTCTAGCCCCATCCATTTGCCTGCAAATTTCAAGATGTCATTATCTTTTTCTGCTATGTATTACTCCATTGTGTAAATGTACCATATTTTCTTTATCCATTCTTCAGTTGAGGGGCATTTAGGTTGTTTCCGGGTTCTGGCTTTGACAAACAATGCTTGTGGTATGAATGAGCATCCTTTGCATATATACCAAAAGTGGTATTACTGGGTCTTGAGGAAGGTTGTTTCCTGATTTTCTGAGAAATTGCTATATTGATATCCAAAGGGGCTGTACCAGCTTGCATTCCCACCAGCAATGCAGAAGTGTTCCCTTTACCCCACAACCTCTCCAGCATAAGTTGTCATCAGTGTTTGTGATTTTGGCTATTCTTACAGGTATAAGATGGAGTCTCAGAGTTGTTTTGATTTGCATTTCTCTGATGACTAAGGATGTTGAACATTTCCTTAAGTGTCTTTCAGCCTAAATGGCTATTTTTGTTTCTACTCCTAACCAATTTTTGCACAACCAAATCTTGCTTCTTTAGGTCGTGAGCAGAGCCAATAATCACACAGGTTAAGCAAAGAGATAGGATTATTTTTCCCCAGTAACCGGTGAAGAGCAGGCTCTGGGGGTCAGGTTCTCAGATCAATTTCCCACCTCCTCTTAGTCCTAGCAGGTGAAAGAAATGGACACTATGTTTATAACTTCTCTAGGAGGGCGCCACTCCATGAATTCTGTTTCCCCTTTCCACCTGACCTTGTTCGCAGTTCCCAGGATGTTGTGATGTTGTGAAAATTGTAAATTGTGCCCTGGAAATGTCTCATAATTGCAGCATGACAGTATGAGGTGAAGGGACAACTAGCGAGGAAGAGAGTAAGTAGCAGAGCCCATTAGAGCCAGCTTGGCTTTGGTGGGTCTCACATCATTTTCCACATAGAGTCCCCACCGTGACGTGATGTGAACCAGTTTTCCTTAGTGCATGGACTCCCTTGGGGATGTGCTTGGGTGAGGGTGTACTATGGAGGGATGGAGAACAGAAACAGTGCCTGGTAGAGTGGAGTGTTCCACCATGACAGTGTTGCCCTTCTGTCCAGCATATGGGGAGAGAGCAGTGTATGCTGCTTTGGAGGGTGCACTCTGGGAATCTGAAATACCCGCTGATGGCATTGACCACACCTCGTCACATGGTCACACCAGTCAGAGAGGCTCAGAAAGAGCTTTCAGCTGGGTCAACACATCTCACTGAACTTCTGTTAGGGAAATTAGATTGTGTTTCTCTATTGTTAGAGCAGCAGAAAGAATATTCTTTAGAATGGTTGCGTTTCTAACTTTTTCACTGATGTTTCCAAGTAGACAAACTGAAAAGGCATAATCCCAGTTCCTGCATTTTCCTTTGGAACTTAAGGCACACTTACCTAATAGTTCTAGGCATGGGGCTGAGATATGCTACGAAACAAGGTTGCCATGCTCTAGCTAAGTTTTCTTTTCTTTTGTGATGTTGAGGATCAAACCCAGGGCCTTGTGGGTGCTAAGCCCATGCATGCTCTGCCACTGAGTCCCGGTACAACCAATTCCTATGTTTCGCTATACGGTTTTGGCGACTTTATCTATTTTTTTGATGTAGGTGTGGCGGGGCTGCGTCCTGCCTCCCGGTTAGCTTTATCTGAAATAATTACATGGAAATTGTATTATTTTAAACATTGTCTGGCCCATTAGTTCTAGCCTCTTATTGGCTAGCAAAATGTCTCTGTCATCTCTAGAGTTTGTAAGTTGCTTACTTCTTATTTACTTAGGTAATATTATATCCTTCTGGAGTCTTTGATGGAGTTGAAGAATAGATAGATTCTTATAGATAGATAGTTATAGTTATAGTTTTCCTTAGTTATGATAAAGATAAAATAGATGTAAATATTGTAATTTTTACTTGATAACTGTTTTGTTATATGTAATTTTGCTATGTTAAAGTTAAAGCTTTCCTTTTTTTGTTTAAACAGAAAAAGGGGAAATGATGGAGGAAGGTCATTGGTTAATTAATAAAGAAACTGCTTGGCCTCATAGGTTAAAACATAGGTGGGTGGAATAACCAGAACAGAATGCTGGGAGGAAGAGGAAATGAGCTCAGACTCGATAGCTCTCCTCTCTGGGGCAGACACGATGAAGATCCGACCCAGGATGGACATAGGCTAAAATCTTCCCCATAAGCGCACCGTGGGTTGCTACACACATTATTAAAAATGGGCTAGTCCAGATGTGAGAGTTAGCCAAGAAGAAGCTAGATATAATGGGCCAAGCAATATTTAAAAGAATACAATTTCCATATAATTACTTCGAATAAAGCTAGCCATGTGGGCGCCAGGGCGGCCGGAACGCAGCCCTACTGCTCCTTCAACATTTTTTTTTTTTTTGGCTAATTTTCTGCTGGTTGTCATTGTGTACCTAGGTATGGCACAGTCCCAAGGCTGGCTGAGAAGATACTTCAAGGCCTTCTGTAAAGGCTTCTTTGTGGCAGTGCCCGTGGCAGTCACCTTCCTGGATCGGGTCGCCTGCGTGGCGCGAGTGGAAGGAGCCTCGATGCAGGTGAGCACGAGTTCCGCTTTGTTCCGTAAAGCCCATGCTCCTTTGTCTCTCGCGTACTGGGAATAGAGCTCACCCTAGTGTTTCTGTGCTGCGTCCCGAGAGGTCCAAAAAGACATTGAAACTAAAGTTTCACCTTTTCAACTTTCTTTTTTTTTTTTTTTTCCATTTTTGTGGTTTTCTCCAGATAGGGTTTCTCTGTGTAACGGCCCTAACTGTCCTGGAACTAGCTCTTGTGGATCAGGCTGACCTCAAACTCACAGAGATCCACCTGCCTCTGCCTCCTGAGTGCTGGGATTAAAGGTGTGCGCCACCACTGCCTGGCCCCAACTTTCTTTTAAAGGCTCCTGATAACTATTATTATAATCAGAGTCGAGATGAACAGAATTAATTACCAAGTAGGTCTTGGGTCTGTACTTTGATTTTTCTGTGAATTACAAATGGAGACTTAAAGAAAATGTATTAAATGGTGTTGTTTTTTTTATGACTATGGCTACATTTGAACACCTGTTTAAGACTGAATTAGGCAGGTAGTGGTGGTGCACATCTTTATTCCCATGCAAAGGCAGACAGATCTCTGCAAGTTCGAGGTGAGCCTGGTCTAGAAAGACAGTTCAGGGATAGCCAAGGCTACACAGAGAAACCCTGTCTTGAAAAACCAAACCAAACCAAACCAAACCAAAACAAAAACCCAAAAACAAAACAGTATACTTTTGTTTAGGTTAGATTCAGTGACTTGGTTAATGTGTTTCAGTTTGTTAGAAAGTCTCTGTAACTGATTCCTGATTCTAGACATTCTAATATGCTCTTTAAGTGAGTTACTGATTAAAACTACACTAAAAAATTTTAAGTTAGTTTTTATTTTTATTGTGTGTGTGTTCAGGTGTGTGCATGCTATAACTATAGTGCATATATAGAGGTCTGAAGATAATTTTATGGAGTATGAGTTCATTTGTGTTTCAGGGATTGAATTCTTGGAGCCAGGCTAGCTCAGCAAGCATTTTTATCTGCTGACTCGTCTTGTCAGCCCACACTGAGTAAAAATATTAAATGCAGTTTATAGTGGAAGAACCTTGGAGTGGAGATTTCCAAAAATTTCGTACAAATAATTTTGTGGAGTAACTCAGAGGAGGTTTTATTGAGGAACTGGTGTTTAGAAGCTTACTTGGTGAGAAGTTTTGTACAGCTGAGCAGCTTGCATTTTGTAGCAGGATTTTCTTAGTTGTCATCAGCATATATTAAGGTCACGCATTGTGCCAAATATCTCTGTCAAATAAATACGTAAAGTGAATATATAGACTTCCAAGAGATTCTAATCATGCAGAGTAATCTACTTAGGTTTTTCTCTTTGTTTTGCTTAGAACTAGTTAAAGCACCAGTTTTAAGGAATAAGGATGGATGTATTCCAACATAATTACGGTGTTAAAAATCAGACCCTTTCCTCATTGTGGAGGTCAGCAGACTGTTAGGTTGAGGCCTCTGGGGGAGGCTAGTGTAATGCTAGGTTGTGTTTATGTTCGCTTTTCTTCCTTTATTTGAGGGGTCCTTAGGCCCTCCTCTTGGTCAGATGATCTTGACCTCAAACTATCCATTTCCAGTTCCTTCCACAGCAGGTCACCAGTAAATTTGGTTATTAATTTGATGAAAGAAATGTTTTAATGCACACAGCAGCATGCAAAGCATATGACTAATAGGTATCTGCCTTTGTTTATAAATGCAGTTGAAAACATTTAATAAGGCTTGGTCTTTATGTTTTATTTCTTTTGTTTTCAATTCCTAGCAGCCTTGTCTTAGAGATAATCCCCAGGGGGAAAGGTAGATTTGCTTTGTAGAGCTTTTGAGTCAGATTTATCATTTCAGATTAAAACTGGCTTCTTCACAGCCAACCAAATCCTTTTTGGAGCCCTAGGACCTTTTAGTAATAATCAGATTAATAATGATTTTCTCCAGTGTCCTTAGTGCTCTTTTGCTACACAACTCCCACTATCTACAGAAGGATTTTTTTTTTTCTGTAGAATACAAGACCTCCTTACTTGGAATCTAATGATATTTCAGGGGATTATATCATAGTATTTTAATCTTCATACTTTTAGCGCAACATGTTCCTACTGAGAGCATATAGTTATGGCTATGGTAGGGAACACCAAAGGCATTCATTAAAATATGTGAAGTATGATTTTTGATCACAAGGCATTGATTGTTTTGTGGAAGAACAAAGTTTATCCCTAGTGAGGAAGGCAAAGAAGAAAGCGTTAAGCCATGTCATTCCCAGATGCCGTTCAGCCGACTGTTATTAGCCTTACACAGATACACTTGACTCTGCAGGTGCATTAGTCATGCCTGCATCATTCCCAGCTCTACCAGGTGCGTTAGTAATGCCTGCATCATTCCCAGCTCTACCAGGTGCGTTAATAATGCCTGCATCATTCCCAGCTCTACCAGGTGCATTAGTAATGCCTGCATCATTCCCAGCTCTACCAGGTGCGTTAGTAATGCCTGCATCATTCCCAGCTCTACCAGGTGCATTAGTAATGCCTGCATCATTCCCAGCTCTACGCTTAACAAGTGCAGTTTATTACTTGGAGTTTGTTTGGTACTGCGTGCCAAATCCCCTTGGTTACAGGTTATAGGAAAATAGCTTGAATTTACCTAGGTCTACAAATTCATTGGAGGGTTTAGGATGCAGCCATGATTGGAGCAGCAGCTTGGCAGCTGTCATTAAGAACTGGGGCCAGGCTTCTCTCTGATGCCATGTTTGCTGTCACGAAGAACCAGGACCAGCCTTTTCTCTGATGCTATGTTCGCCGTCACGAAGAACCAGGACCAACTCTCTCTCTGATGCTATGTTCGCCTCTATCTGCATCTTTGTATAATTTTTTTTTTTTTTGCCATCCATGTCAGGACATGTGGAGTGCGAGCCACTCACATGCTTTAAAATGCCCCATTCTGGCGCCACCTGACAAACGTCACACTTCTCTGAAATTAGAAAAATCAGTAGCTCTCCTACATACAGATGATAAATGGATTGAAAAAGAAATCAGGGAAATATCACCCTTTACAATAGCCACAAATAACATAAAATATCTTGGGGCAACTCTAACCAAACAAGCCAAAGACTTGTGTGACAAAAACTTTAAAACTCTGAAGAAAGAAATTGAAGAAGACACCAGACAATTGAAAGATCTCCCATGTGCTCTTGTGTAGGTAGGTAAAAATGGCAATCTTACCAAAAGCAATCTACAGATTCAGTGCAATGCCCATCAAAATCCTAGCAAAATTCTTCTCAGACCTTGCAAAAACAATACTCAACTTCGTATGGAAAGACAAAAAAAACAGGATAGCCAAAACAATCTTGTCCAACAAAGGAACTTCTGGAGGTCCTACAATCCCCGACTTCAAACTGTGTTATAGAGCTGCAGTAATGAAAACAGCCTGACATTGCATAAAAACCAGTGGAACCGAATTGAAGACCCGATATCAATCCACACACTTACAAATACCTGATTTTTGACAAAGAAGCTAAAAATATAAAATGGAAAAAAGAAAGCATATTTAACAAATGGTGCTGGCATAACTGGATTCATCATGTAGAAGAATGCAAAATGTTTATCACCATGCACAAAACTCAAGTCCAAATGGATCAAAGACCTCAACATAAAACCACACACTGAACCTCAAAGAAGAGAAAGTGGGAAGTACACTTGAACACACTGGCCAGGAGACTACTTCCTAAATATAATCCCAGTAGTATAAATACTGAAAGTAACAATTAATAAATGGGACCTCCTGAAACTGAGAAGTTTCTGTAAAGCAATGGACATGGTCAACAAGACAAAATGGCAACCTGTAGAATGGGAAAAGATCTTCACCAACCCCACATTGGACAGAGGGCTGAGCTCCAAAATATACAAAGAACTCAAGAAACTTGACATCAAAAGAACAAATAATCCAATAAAAAATGGGGTACAGACTTATACAGAGAACTCTCAATAGATGAATCTCAAATCAAAATCTTAGATGAAGCTAAAAGACACTTTAGAGTCTTTTGCCATCAGAGAAATGCAAATCTAAACATCTGAGAGATTCTATCTTATACCTGTCAGAATGGCCAAGATCAAAAACACTGATGACAGCTTATACTTGATGGGATATGGGATAAGGGGAACATTCCTCCATTGCTGGTGGCAGGGAAAACTTGTACAGCCACTTTGGAAATCAGTATGGTGATTTCTGAGAAAATTAGGAAACAATCTACTTCAAGACCCAGCAATATTGCTGCTGGGTATATAACCAAGTATTTACACAATGGAGCACTACACAGCAGTAAAAAATAATGACATATTGAAATTTGCATGCAAATGTTTGGATCTAGAAAAAAATCATATTGAGTGAGGTAACCTAGACTCAGAAAGACAAATACAATATGTACTCACTCATAAGTGGCTTCTAGACATAAAGCAAAGAAAAAAAGTGACCTATAGTCCACAACCCCAGACAACCTAGACAACAAAGAAGATCCTAAAAGAGACATACATGGATCTACATAGGAAGGAGAAAAAGACAGGATCTCCTGAGTAAATTGGGATCATGGGGGCCCTGGTAGAGGGTAGAAGGGAAGAGGGAGGAAGGGAGGGGAGGAGAGAAAAAACGTACAGGTTAATAAAAACAATAAAAAAGTGAAAAATCTGGAGGCAGGGGAGACCATGATTGACTCAGGCTCTATCAAATTCTCTTACATATACATAGGTCAACTTTGACCATCAGGGTGTTATGATTGATATAGCATTGGATAAGTACACACTCTCACCTGTGACTGAGTGATCTGTGTGAGATTAAGGACGTGTGTGTGTGTGTGTGTGTGTGTGTGTGTGTGTGTTGTATCTTTAAAATTTTTTTAAAATTTTTTTTTGGTGACAGAATCTCTGTAGCCATTTCTGGCTTGGAGCTCAGTTTGTAGATCTGACCTGCTTTTGTCTCCCAGGTGCTGATATTAAGGACATGTA